GCGCCCTACTCCTTTGAGCCACAGGTGCTGCCCCCCATAAACATTTATTATTTCTCTGTAGAGACCACTTCCTTTCTTTTTCTAACTTCTTATGTTTAATGCCTACCATTAATTTTCAACTCTTTTCTCAATAAACATAATAAGACTGTCAGTTCTCTCTCAGCTGTGTGCACAAATTACTTCTTTCTGTGACCACTCTGCTTTGAGTACATCCTTTCAGATTTTAGGGGTTTTTTATTTCTACAAGTTGTACTGGCCGCTCTTTCACATCTGCTGTTTGATCAGTTGTGTTCTTTTTTTTTTTTTTTTTTGGTTTTTGGCCGGGGCCAGTTTGAGCCCACCACCTCCGGTACATGGGGCCGGCGCCCTACTCCTTTGAGCCACAGGCGCCGCTGTTGATCAGTTTTTGTAGCCTCTGCTTCTCACTTGCAGTGTCAATCCTGTCCCCTGTTTCACGCTCTGTGACTGATGCTCTGATTTCCTCCCAGGTTTGTTTTGTGGCCCTCGGTCATTGAGTCTTATATTCCAGTGTGTTTGTGAATTGTTTACATATTTCTTGGCATTCCGTTCCTTTGAAGGTAGATTCCTCCAGCGTGTTCTTGTACTTCTGCCTGGGACTCAGCCGGCCTGGGACGGCCTTGAATTCCAGCTGGAGGGTTCTCAGAGTACCCAGGTATTGTGAGTTTAACGGCAAACCCACCTCAGAACTGGAATGTGGTTCAGATTCTCAGAGATGGTTTGTTCCTAAGTTGAAGATAAATTCTCTCCTTAAGGGGATGTGAAGAGTTGAGGGAGATCAGTACAGTCTGGGAAGAGGGATGGAGGCCTGCAGGGGAGCAGGTTTTAAGAACTAGGTGTTCTAGAAGAACTAGAAGTGTTCTGGAAACTTCTAGAACACTAGAATGAAGTTCACTCTTAAAAATTTACAAACACACTGCGATTCTCTGGGGATGACAGAGGAGGGGGAGGCTTAGACCACAGAGGCTGAGCAGGCCCAGGACTTGGGCTTTTGTGAGAAGACATCAAAGCTTGAGTTAAGCAGCCTCAGAAAATGCCCAGAAGGCAAAATCCGACTTCTTTGCTCTCAGGTTACCCGGCACCTCTCTGCGCTTCCAGTTTTGTTGAGTTTTCAGTCTGTAGTATTGCTTCTTGCCTTGATAGCTTATTAAAGCAACTAGAAAGGATGTGGGGTTTTAATCCAGTATTTTCTGTTGATTTTTAGCAGGAGGATAGTGAGGCTCTCTGGTGTCCATCATCTACTGATGAAGAAATCTTCTTTGTGCCTTTAAAAATACGAAATGACAGGGGGGAATGGGTAGAGGGAGGGGGATTAAAGGGATCACTTCTGAGGTTTATCTTACAAGGGTACAAGTGAATCTTTGTAAGAGCAGAATGTGAACATTTTAAAATAATAACTAAGAAAATGGCATGAAGGCTATGTTAACCAGTTTGATGGAAGTTTTTCGGATTGTGTGTGAAAACCCCACACTGTACCCCAGAAGTGCATTAATGTACATAGTTACCATTCAATAAAAAAAAATACAAAATAACATTTTCTGGACTTAAGTTAGGAGATATTCTTCAAAGTGAGAGCCTCTATTCTCGTGATGCCACCTTTGAGAGGGTCTGAGCCCTGCCTCGCCCACCACCCTTCCTCTGGTCTTGGGTCTGTTTGTTTCCTCTGGTGGTTTATTTCTTTTTCACTGCTGACTTCTCGAAGTAATTCCTTGCTTTCCCGGTGGTGAGAAGAGCAGGACAAAGCCCCTGCATCTCTCCCTGACATTCAGTCAGACACTGCGCCACCGCCAGCTCTTACTTCTTGACTGGAAGAGGGCGGCTTTGCTGAGTACTCAGTGTTTTTTAGATAACATTTTGATTGTGTTCACTCAGTTTTACTAGAAAGATATTGCTTACAAAGGACAGATACTCTTGCCCACAGCCAACCTCAAAACCCTGTAACTAAACTGCCCGAAGTGTAGATTATCTTTCTGATCACTGCATTGTGTTCTCTTTGCTCTGTCCCAGTATCACGAAAGAGAGGCTTTTGTTCCGTCCTCAGCAAGGGCAGTGGGTAGCAGATCTAGGAGGGGAAGTGTCAGTGACGGGAAGGTCCCCAACAGAAGATGTGATACACTAATACTTGATATAAAATTACAAGAAATGGGAATATAAAACTAGACAGCATCAGGCAGCGAGGGAATCAGCTGTGATGAATTTACTTCCCTTTTGCACAAAATTCTCATAGCTCTGCCAAAAAACTAAGTGGTCCCATTATGCTGTTACTGGTCTGTTATTGACACCCGCAGTAGCAGCTCTCTGAAGGCCCTGAGACCACAGCTGGGGCTCTCGTGGGCAAGCGGCAGGGCGTGCCATGCCCGAGATAGATTCGCTCTCCATGACTGGGCCAGAGTGTGTCTAAATAGCTTACTGATGGATACTGGACTGTGAAATGACTCTCAGGGGAGTAGAGAGAATAAAAATGAAATTGCTGGGAATGTACTAGGTGATATACTCGGATCACCAGTAAAATGCTCTTCTGATTGTCCGCTCCTTCTCTCATAAGCTGCCTGTGCTTGAATGGGCAGAGTCTGATAATCCTATTAGTCATTTCAAAAATATAGTAAGAGGAGCCGTGATTATGAAATTGTAATAAAACATGTACATGACTGTTAAATAGTCTCAAATAGCCCTGGGGCAGTATGGACAGTGCCTGACTGACGGCATTAGTGAGCGTTAGCAGTCCCCTCTCTGTGACATCATGGCGTAGACTGTGCACCACGTCCCCTCTCTGTGACATCATGGCGTGGACTGTGCACCACGTCCCCTCTCTGTGACGTCATGGCATGGACTGTGCACCACGTCCCCTCTCTGTGACGTCATGGCGTGGACGGTCCACCATGTCCCACTCTGTGACATCATAAC